CAGTACGCGCTCGTTGCTGGAAATAAGCTTATTTTCATACCCGTCAGTTTTGTCGGATGTTCTAATTAGTAGCGAGTCAGCTCAGTTTGCCATTGAGTTTCCATTCTAGAAATAATTTCTACGCTAATTAACTTAGAAAACTTCTCAAGCATGCCTTTAAACACTGTGTACTGTAGGTAATGTGGTGGCGCAGCGGCCTATGGCAACAATTCGTATGGATTTCGAGGCTGTTGGGAGTTCGGGACCCTTTATGAGGAAATTTGTCATCTGCAATTTGCTTTATTTTAGCTGGTAATAACATGCCAAGCATGTTGCAAGGTTTCTAAACCACTTTTAGCGCGTGCATCCTATAGCATCCTTAAAAGACAAAATCATACACAGCCAGCGTCAGCCTATTTGTGAGGCACAGACGAAGAGAGAGGAAATAAGTGAGACTACCCAACGGCCCAGCTCACTCTTCAGTGTTACATGAATTCAGAAAAGAATTTACTTCTGCGGGTTGCTGAAACTTCGTCTGTTGTTGAGGTTGGTGTTCGGATGATCGGGGCTATGTGTTGATGTTGGCGATGCTGAGGTTGTTTGAGCATCTCCTGTAATTCTCGGACTTTAGGCTAATTACATACCATGTTATGTTGCAATTTTCAGATAAAAAACAGGAACTTCCGTCTTTTTTTCGATTTCCTCATCGCAGCAAGGAAAAGCCGAGATAGGCAATTTTAGCCATTAGAAGTCATAGTTTGTCGCTTTAACCCAAAACTGATCTACAAGGCTTAAATCGTTTTCTGTGATTAATAGGTTTATCCAGCATCTGTTCATTTCAGCAGCATACTCGCCGGGAAAGATAGGTTGCCGCTCTTTTTCGTTGAAGGTGCCAGCAGTGCGTGAAAAAAGTAGCGGCACTCAGCAAGCCAGCCGGTGCGCGCGTACGGGCCCCCCAAAGTTTTTTTGGAGTCAGTTCATAACTTGAGGATCTGAGAAGCTAGAAGGCTGAAATCTTGGGGGTAATGTTCCCCGCCCAAGCGGCTATTAGTGGGCTCAAATCTAGCCCCCGGGTAAGCGTGGTACTCACGTACGGGCCCTCCCAAAATTTTTCCTGCGCAAC